ATATGATATACTAATGTACTTCATGCAATATATGTGTAAAATGTCCATAAATTGGAATTCCCATTCTATACAATGTATCTACATATTGCATCTAATTTGCATATTAATGTGTTCTTTGGGCAAACCATAATGAAAAAAGAAGTGTTATAATGGGAGTAATAAATTTGCAACATTTTCATAAGAATATCTCATATTTCATAGGAATATTGATCTATAATTTCTTGTTGTGTCTCCCCAAAATGCCTGATTAACAGCCGTTTGTCCTGGTGTCCTCTACAGAAGACATGTATGAAAATTACGCCCGGTTTCGTAACGAAAAGTCATATTCCGATTTGAAACCCCATCACATTTTTCTGAGATGTTTATTCACGACAAACAATTTGAAAATTAGCCAGATTTAAATGATAATTACAAAACATTATCATATTTCCCTAAGAGTGCTAAATTTGATCATTCTGTCGATATCAGTCATATTTAAAGACCAAGCAGAAGGAGTGTTTATTATGATCTAACCTCCGAACATTTGATCTCTCTAAAAAGCCCTGAATGTGCCCTGAACAGGACATCCAGACTAAAACTGCGGCATGTAGGGTCTCACTAAAATATAATGTCCTCGACAGAGGACAGACGTCTATGCCTGGGTCCCAGGAGGATATAACTTTTTGTTGTTGTTGTTGTTATTAAAAATAAATAAGCAAGTCCAGCCCAGGTGACAAAAAGTAACGCAATGCATCACTTTCCATAAAAAGTAACTAAGTAACAAAATTAGTTACTTTTTAATGGAGTAATGCAATATTGTAATTAATGCTTTTTTACAATCTTCAATTTTGTAATTATTGCATTACTTTTAAAAGTAACTTTCCCCAACACTGCTGGGAACAGCATGCCAGAGCCTTTCAGTATCTTCGCACTAAGTCTTAGCGGAAGAAGAGAATAAGGGGAAATGTGTTTGACATACGCTGCCGGGGAGGCAGGAACAGCAGGATACGATTAATGACCGCAGAATACGATTGTTACAATATGGCCTCCCTTTCTGCTGGGCTGTCATATTTCACAGCCTGGTTTCATTCGTCGGTTTTTGTTTTTTCTCCCTCCTTTCATGGCTCCCCCTCTCTCTTTGTATTTCTCGGTAAGCGTCATTGATATGCAGCAGTGTGTTCCTGGAGCAGACTCTGTTCTCATGGCCGGCCTTTAAAACAGCTTGGCGCTGACTCACGGGTGCACAACTCTTGTAAACATTCAGCTAATGTTTCGGAGCGGAGTTTTACTGTCGCAGACGTTCCTGAAGTGCACATATGACACAGTGAGGAAACATTTCAAGTGTTACAGCGAACACGGTGAAACCGGCGCATAACAAGTGCATTTCTAAGCCTCTGTTTTTGCTGATTGGCCGTGCAAGTGACAGCTGTTTGTTTAGCTTGCCCTCCATGTTACAGACCTGATGGTTAATAAAGTGTAACCGAGCCCCGATAACCCCAAACCAGGTTTTAGCATGCCGATTTGTAGTACCACAAATAAAAGACGGCTTTAAAGACGTCTGCGAGGGTTGGGGGGCAGAAATCTGGCAGCCAAATGTTCCTGGTTCCAGCAGTGATTAAGTAAGTCAGGGCTTCAGAAAGCTGGATATCTCTGCGCATGAGCGCGGCTGTGTTTGTTGACACATTGAGGAGAGAGTTTCAGTGTTTTCGCACTGTTCATCAATCTTTACAGCGCATTATTCAGGAGCCAGAGACAATATAATCATGTTAACTATGCTTCTCACCTCGCGCTCGTTTGTTATCACCACAACTTTCTGTTTAGAGCCATTTAGATATGTTCAGGTAAAGAAGTCTGACGAATCTGACGAAAACAATGTCTGGCTCTTATTTTATCCCAGAATAAGAAGAAAAACATTTTAAGTTTCGGTAACACTTTATTTTAAGGTCTCCTTGTTACACTTGTTACATGTACTTACTATTATAATAACAATTAATAATGCATAATTACATGCAAGAAAACCTAACCAAACCCTAACCATATAGTAAGTACATGTAGTTACACTTGTATAATTACACTGTAACAAGGACACCTTAAAATAAAGTGTAACCGAAGTTTTTTTTTTCATGACATTTAAACCATCAAAAAATCTAATTTCTGTAATGCGTCTGGATGTACTTCTTTATGTAACGACTGTTATTCTCATTATTACCCTGGATGCTATCTATTAGTATCCATTGTAATGACTGAACTGAATGAATGATGTGTGCTACTAATGTGTTTTTCGTTTGGTTTGTATGTCTAACCTGATCTCACGGAAAAACTAGCTATTTTTAGAGGTGGCGATTTCGTATGAATTTGTAGAATTTGAATCATATGAAAAAGTAAAAAAAAAAGTTTTTTTTTTTGGAAAGGTCCACCCCTAAACACAACCGTCACAGGAACATAAGCAGATCATATGAAAACGTATGAATTAGGCACCAGTTCGCCAAAATGTAAAATAGTTACGAATTGTCATGAGATTGTGTTGATGTGACCATTGCATTATAATGTAGATGTTCTTGTTGTTATTGTGTTCATTGTACTCTTGCTGTACTCATGTTTTTAGTATATTAGCAATGTATCTTCAGCATCTATTTAGTTATTTCCAGGTGAAGTATAAGCTGCACATGATGTTCTTTTGATTCACCCATAGAGTAATGTTGAAATTTAACAACTGAAAACTCAAAACATGAGAAAGTTCAAATGTGTGTAAAAATGTATGCATATACAATTGCAGACAAATGTATAAAATGTTAATGTACAGATTAAATATAATGTTTGCATTCACTCTCTGCACTGCTGGGATTTCACAGGAGAGCAGCAGAAGTTAAGCTGACGTTGCACACAGACAGAAAGTGAGAAGACGAATCCAGCAGCGCTCGCGGATACTCCTCTGGCTGTGTTCTTTCTGCTTTGGACAGATGTATGTGTTGAACATATGGTGCTGCTCGTATCTGTGCGATGATCCACACCTGTTCCACACAGCTGCCCCGCAAAGCTCTCCATTCGCTCCAGCTCTGTGTCTGAACACAGCTGCAGTGCATTCTGGGGGCAGCCCGCAGGGCACAAATGTCTCCTGATTAAAAGCCTTCAGGAAGAAACAAAACTCTTATTTAACATGGCGGTATGCTGAAGTGTACTTTTGGATCTGCGATGTCAAAATCAAGAGTTGCTGTCCTCCAACCCATTCCTGGATGAATATACAGTATTTCTGCTTAGAAGAGAATGAGTGACCAACTGCAAAAAATAATTTTCCTACTTAGCATTTTTGACTTGTTTTCTAGTACGAATATCTAAACATTCTTGAATCAAGGTGCATTTACTTGAGAAGCAAAATTACTAAAGTCTTGTTTACTGAAAAATGTATCAACATTTTGTTAGTTTTTGTTTAAAAGAAGAAAAAATATCTGCCAATGGGGCAAGAAAAATAATCTTAATTTAAAGACAAAACAATATTATTTATCTTGCCCCATTGGCAGATATTTTTTCTTCTTTTAAACAAAAACTAACAAAATTTTAATAAATTTTTGAGTAAACAAGACTTAATATCTCAAGTAATTTTGCTTCTCAAGTAAATGCACCTTGATTCAGGAATGTTTAGATATTTGTGCTAGAAAACAAGTATCAACATTTTGTTAGTTTTTGTTTAAAACAAGAAAAAATATCTGCCAATGGAGCAAGATAAATAATATTGTTTTGTCTTTAAATTAAGCTTATTTTTCTTGCCCCATTGGCAGATATTTTTTCTTGTTTTAAACAAAAACTAACATAATTTTGATACATTTTTCAGAAAACAAGACTTAAGGCCCGTTCACACCAAGCACTATAACGATAAAGATATCGTTCTAAAACTCGTTCTCAATATTAAAGAATAGCAGAGTCCACACCACAACTATAACGATAAAGGCACAGAGAAACGATATCGTTGGAATCACGTTCAAAACGATCTTTTCCAGCTGATGAACGATACAAACACTGACAGCCAATCAGAATCCGTCCTGCTGTAACGAGCTCGAGCATTTAATCTAGCGCTTAGAATAAACCGACGATATCGTCCGCTGGTGTGGACGCTAATGTCGTTATCTTTATAGTTATCGTTCTTGGTGTGAACGGGGCTTTAATCTCTTACGAAAATCATTTTTTGCAGAGTATATTTTGAAATGGACATCCAAATGGACGAACACACTACTTATCATATTATCTTGCCATACTAGCTAATAGCTGGATTGATGAAAATCTACTTTTTGTTATTATTACTAATCATTATTGCATCGTCACATGTTGTTTCAGAACAGATACAGATCAACTGAGATATTTACTCTAGCTGTAAAATATTATCAGCTGCTTGGTTCTGGCCTTCAAAGAGGTCCTGAAGTGAAAGAAACAAATCTCAGTCTTTGCCTCTTCATAGTCATTCCTCTTAATCATTTGTCTTTATGGGATGAATCCTTCCTTCCTTTCACATTCATACTGTATGTCATGATTATTCATATTACTGTCACCATTGTGAGCTTATATGCCTATTTCATTATGACACTTACTGTACTCTATGTTGTTGTAATCAGTGTCTCTGCTAGTGTGTTTATGTTGTATGTTTTTATTGCAGACCAATTTTTCTTGGTGAGCTCATAACAATAAAGTACTGAATCTTGAATGACTAGAAGAAGCAGCCTGGTCTGAACCAACTTTCCTGCTAAGGGACTTTGATATGGCCCTTCCCCGTTTTATTGTTGTCTAATCACTTGGATAAGGAATTAGTTCACCCAAAAATGAGAATTAGCTGAAAATGTCCTCAAACTCTACATGATGTAGCATTGCATCACTTGCTCAACAATGGATGCTCTGATGTTGGATGAGTAAATTAAAGTGCTGGTGTGTTAATGTCACGAACATCCCACAAAAAGTCATCACAGACGATTCAGGCTTGAAAAAGACATCTTAAAGCAGAGGATATTTTCAATATCTTTCTTTTTATTGCAAACAATATGATACAAAAGATAAGCTTCTTTTAAGACGGTGGCATGTTTTACAGTTTTTCTTTACGACATTAAAAAACAAGGGAAAGGAAATAAATGCTGGTGTTTTTCGTAGAGATGCAGCCAACAGCCTGCAGAAGTCGACATGTTTGAGAAACGAAGATCCAGTTGTTTCTATAAAAGGTTTGATCAGGTCTCACAATTAGAAGTCAACTCGATTAACATTTTAAATGGAAACATTAACAAATGATAAATAAATGAGATGGTTAAAGTTGGCACTACAACTAAATCGCAATCATCTCCGGAAACATTTTTAGTCACAAATTAGTCATACGAAGCCCGAGTAAATGATAAAACGCAAATAGTATTACTTTCAAGTCAAATGAACGCTAATGAATAAATTAAAGAGGTTAAGACTGGAGGAATGGTCGAGCTGCGGAGGGCACTTCCAGCAGTGTGATCTCTGTAGGCACAGACGGACTCGAGAGGCAGTTTCCACAGAAGCAAGAGCTCAGCTGATATGGCAGACGCTTAGGCACGGACTCTAGAAGCATTCGACTGTACATCTGACAAATCAACAGGCTTTGCCCAAGTTTTAAGAAACCCCCACAAATATATACAGAGGAGAAATATCAGGCAAACGAGTCTTTACAAAAACATCACCGGGGCGAAGACAGCTGCGTGTAAATCCCAGACACAGCTGAGGAAAACACACGCGACACATACACAGTACATACTAAAATAAGTATCTGGAATCTGTCCTCACAGAGGATTTCTCTTGTCTCATTATATCTAGAAAAATATAATCAAGGCACAGTCGGGAGCCATTCCGTTCGTTTCAGTACTTTTCCAGCGTTCTCCCACCGGGCTTCGACCCGGCTGCGGGTGTCCCTCAGGGCCTGGACAGCTGGGTGTAGACGGGCTGCTGCTCCCAGTGCTGCGGCACCGTGTCGGGGATAGGGCTGTATATGGGCCTCTGGCTGGGGCTCATGTAGCTGAAAGCGGGGTACTGGCTGTAGTAGGAGTTGGCGGGACTCTGGTGCTCGGCGTAGTCGTACTGCGCGCGGCCGATGGAGGGGTAGGAGGTGCTGTAGTGCTGCAGGTTGAAGGAGCCGTAGGCTACATGCTGCGGAGAGCCCTGCTGCTGCTGGCTGTAGTGGCTGGGACTCAGCTGCTCCGTCTTGATCTGCGTCCGCTGCTGGCCTTGGCTCTGCTCTCCACCATTGGCCATTGACGGCTGCTGCTGCTGTTTGGAAATCCAGGCCCCTCCGGCCTGAGTGCTGAGCCCGTAGCCGGCGGGGTACGCCTGCGTGCCGCCGCTGACCCCCGGGTGTCCGTGAGGAGGCAGGTACTGGTCGAACTCGTTGACGTCGAACGGCTCCATGTTGGAGATGACGTCACTGCTCAGCTCGCCGATGTCTACGGCACCAAAGTCGATGCCCTCCTGCAGCGGACGGCCTTCGCGCTTAAGATCCGCTTTGCTGGACGCCAGGTCCGTTTTGGGGGTTGTGGGAGGTGTGGGGGGACCCTGGGACTGACCTGAACAAGAATGAAACCAAATTGAGCTACGCAGTTCCAGAATTATGTTGCTGACGCAACCAGAAGGCTAATAAAGATACACAGCGAGGTTAAGAAGGCCAGATAAGATTTATGAGTTTGCCTGCGGGCTCCAAACGAGGCATTACATAAGGAGCTGCCGCTAAACGTTTTCAAGGGTGCTCTTGGTGCCAAGGGGACTCGCATGCCTTTTCTGCTTGAGAGTCAAGTACCTGAGTGGTCTCCCGGAGAGTGCGCTTCGCCCAAGCTGGACGCGGGAGAGTCGGCCTGCTGCAGGGCTTTGAAGATGGCATTGGGGGAGATGTGGGTCGGCTCGCCGTCCTCGCTCTCGCTCTGGCCGTTCTTCACTGATTTTCTCCGTCTGGGCTGGTACTTGTAGTCGGGGTGGTCTTTCTTGTGCTGGACCCTCAGACGCTCAGCCTCCGCCACGAACGGACGCTTCTCGCCCTCGTTCAGTAACCTGCAAAAGCACACGAGAAATAATCAATACTCAGATCTAGCTTATTCAGTTAACAATGAAGAAACCTGCAACTATGATTATTGCTTTTTGGGTTCACCTAAGAAAAAATATTATTCAGGAAAAAAAAGAATTAAGTAGTCCAGCTCGAACTAAATTTCTTAAAACTAAAAGTTTTTATCGACTATACAACTTTTTCCGCAAAGTAAGGGCTAATTTACCATGTGTGACCCTGGAGCACAAAACCAGTCATAAGGGTCAATTTTTCGAAATTGAGATTTATATATTGTCTGAAAGCTGAATAAATAAGCTTTCCATTGATGTATGGTTTGTTACGATAGGACAATATTTGGCTGAAATACAACTATTTGAAAATCTGGAATCTGAGGGTGCAAAAAAATCTAAATATTGAGAAAATCATCTTTAAAGTTGTTCAAATGAAGTTCTTAGCAATGCATAATACTAATCAAAAATTAAGTTTTGATATATTTACGGTAGGAAATTTACAAAATATCTTCATGGAACATGATCTTTACTTAATATCCTAATGATTTTTGGCATAAAAGAGAAATGTATAATTTCGACCCATACAATGTATTGTTGGCTATTGCTACAAATATACCCCAGCGACTTAACACTGCTTTTGTGCTCCAGGCTCACATTTGGCTACCCTTTCTTACCCAAACAGTTACCTTTTCTCAAGCTTATCAGTATTGCCGTATCATTATATAATAATGCTACGAAACAATGCAATTTACAGTAAGTTTGTCTGGGCAGCTAAAAGAAACTTCTGGAGTTGTCCTAGAACAACAAAAGAAAACAGAAAACAAAACAAACAATGAATGCTCTGACCTCCAGAGTTTTCCGAGGGTCTTGCTGAGCTCGGCGTTGTGCAGGTGTGGGTACTGATCCGCCAGCTTCCTGCGCGCGGCTTGAGCCCAAACCATGAAGGCGTTCATGGGTCTCTTGACGTGCGGCTTGCTCTTGATCGCGCCGCTGCCCCGCGCCGGCATGGGAACCAGGGACCAGTCGTAGCCCTTCAGCACCTGGGACACCGCGTCCCTGATGCACACGGGGAACTTGTCGCCCTCGTCCTTCTTAAACTCTCTCAGGTGCTGCTCCGGTCGGGTGTTCTCGGTGTCCGAGCCCGATCCGGACGCGCACGGAGAGCCGGCGGAATCCTCGGACATGCTCGGGCTGGGCGCGTCGGAGAGACCCTTGTCCTGCTCGTCGCTCATTTTCAGGTAGGAGTCGAAGAGATTCATGCAGAAGAGCGAGTGTCGGAAACTCTAGTGCAGCTGTAAAGTCCTCCTGCAGGGGTTCAGAGGAGTGCGTCAACGCGCCAAAGTCCCTCACGGCTCAGATCAGGAGAATAAACTCACACCACACGGCACGACATGTATCTCTGAGATGAGGACTGACTGAACGGAGAAGTGGAGAGGTTCTGCTCTCTCTCTCTCCAAAGCACATCTCTTATATACGGATGGATGGACGGAGGCGGAGCAGAACCCGATCTCTCTCTCTGTCTCTCTCTCTCTCTCTCTCTCTCTCTCTC